TAGTGTATAATATATATATATATATATATGTGCATTTTTGTATAGTTTTATAACTATTTGATATGATTTCTTGATAACAACAATTACCCAAAATTTTTTGACAATGAATATTTCAATAATATAATAATAAGTCTTTATCTGAATGACAGATACGTAATAATATTTTTAATTTTAATAGTTATAATATTTTATTATTAATTTTTTTTAATCAAAATTAAATAACTTCTTGTTTCATTTAAAACCAAGTTAAGAGAATTTATAAAAAAAAAAATTAATTAATTATCAATAGATTTATCTCTTTTGAAATTAATCTTAAATTTTTGTAGAAAAAAAATAAAAAAAAAAAGAAGAAAAACATGTGAATTTATATGAGGGTGTGAAGATTGGATTATAATAAAAATGAAAAAAAAAAGGGTATTTTCAAATGGGTTTGCAAATGGAAGTCATTGGTGCATGATATTATATAAGCTTAGTGATTAGCAAGTTGGTAAGGAAAAGAAGGAAGAAAAAGCCAAAGTGGAAAAGGTCAGCAAAAGAGACGTATTCCTTCTGCAATATCCTCTCCATATGTGTACGTACAATCTCTTCACTGTATATATACATATATGTATGTGTGTATATATATATATATATGGGTATATATTGATTTTGCAAAATTGTAACTCCACAAGGAAGAATAATATTATGTGGGAAGAAAAACATTGTTAGGCAAAGGTCACCTTCACTTCTCTCTTTCTTCCTTTCAAGTATTTTGATATGCATATTATACTTCCTACTCCTCCTCCTCCTCCTCCTCCTCCTCCTCAAGTCTCAACTATATCATAATCTTGCCTTTATGTCATCTTCAAACACAATAACATTAAAGAAGGGAACAAAATATCCGTGAATTTCGCCTAACCGATTTTTACAACTAAAAAGATTTTTTTAACATTAAGTTTCTTTTTTTAAAAAAAAATTAAAAATTAAACAAATCCATAAAAAAAATAATCAAAAATACCCACGTGATCAAAATATTAATATACTAATACAATTATTATTAAAAATAATGGGTATTTTCATTTTTATATAAGAGATTATAAATTCGAAATTAAATTATAAATTTTTTATATTTATTTAATTAATAAAATATATAAATACACAATTAAAAAAAATATAGATTGATATAATGATTTCATAATGTATATAAAGGTAATGGTAATTAGAATTAGTTGCTTCTCTAAATTTTTCTATTAATTGGCCCATCGGCTTGTATAAAACCAAAAGAATATAGATTAGATGCTTTTCTTGCTATTAGTGACATGACTTGCAACACTCCCCTATCTCATCACTATGTCATGTCTATACACCCCCCTCCCTCCCAAAATAAATACCCAATTTTTTATTTGTTAAAAATGAATTAGAGATTCCATTAATTGATAATCCAACGGCTAAAAACCTCTAATAATGGCATCATACCCATATAAATATATTGAGTGGGGAATATTTTTAGTAGCTTAAGGTGTATGAGACCACATTGGATTTTTGTTCAAGTTATTTGATGGCTTGTGTATTATTCCTTGATGGCTTGTGCTTTGTGAATATTTTGCATGTTCTTCTCGGCAATTGTCAAATTTGGAATTTCTTCCCTCTTGGCACCATAATGGACACAAGATAAGATAATCTTTTGTTGTTGTGTTATTGAAGATTAATCGTGTGTGTCGATTAGATTAATTTATGAAGATGGAGAAAGCACAATGAATAAGCAACCATCAAACTCATTTGAATCTTTTGAATTGTATATAAATATATTTTTGACATCTCTTGCTCCCACCCTATACACATGTGTATGTAAATGCATAGATACACTTTTTCTTTACGTTCATTTCCCTTCGAAAGCAAATACCCAAAATTAAATATTTATACTAATCGAGTACGATTGCAATTTGAGAGAAATTATCCCGTAAGAGCGTTGTAGGTGCAAGTTGTAAGAATTTGATTTTGAAGGAATTTTTTGTATACGTTGGTTCGTTTGAGATTTTTAATAAGAAAAAACAAAGAAAAAAATATATTTTTACCCTTTAATTTCTCCCACCCAATTTTGAATTTGTTGTAGCAATGGGTTTTAATATGTGTGTGTGTGTGTGTGTGTATATATCTATAAAAGCTTAAAAGGAGGAATGAGTAGGTTTTGTGGGTAATTGTTTTGCTCATACATAATTATTAATTGTCCCAATATATTTGCTTAATAGATGGTAGTTGGGTATGTTATACACAAAATTAAATCATTACTAAATTAAGAACTAAAATTGATGGTTTGTTTTACCATTTAATAACATTGTGTGGGATGGCATCCAAATTCTTTACACCAACTCCCCTAAACGAGTGGGGCATCTCTCTCTAATTTTACAAATTAATTATGACTATAAATATTTTCATCTTCATCTAGAAATTCCCATTTACACACAATTGAAAAAAAAAAAAACCAAATTTTGGATTAATTAATTAATTAACTAATTAATATTTCCACTAATTAGCTTGTTTTAGTGATGATAAATATATCATTTTTGAGCAAATTATTAAAATCTAATTATTATTTCCATAATTATGTTATTATTTCCATCCATTTAGATTTTTTTTTTTTTTTTCAAATTTAATTGCCAATGTGTAATATATATCATATGGGTAGTTCTATTTGATCTTTACCCTTTAATATTGAATTTTATATATATATATATATATATATATATATACACGCGCACACACACACACACACATATATAACGAGCATACCGCTAAATGACAATAAACGCCGTCTATAGCTCTATATTATATAACGTAATCTTTTAGATTCTTTGAAAATGATGATATTAATTAAAGTTCAACGAGTAATTATCAATCAATTTAGGCTTTTGAAAGAAATTAAAAGAAAGTAAAAAAACATGAATATACATACATACATACATACATACATACATATATATATATATATGTTTAAAAGTCATATTGATTGGAAAGGCAAGAGTTTATGGTGTTTAACAAAATCATTTGCGTCTCCTCAACCTATTCAAAGTTTTGCAAAGAACTAATAAACTTTGCCAACCAAATAATTGACTTAAATGGGATTTTTAAAAATAAAAAATAAAATATATATTTTCAAACTTAATGGGCCAAATGTATAAATATAGAATTTTAAAGGATCAAAATGCAATTAACTAATGATGGAGTGGCTAATTTGTAATAAATAATTTAGGTAACATGAGTTATACAGTGTGCATTGATTGAGTTTTAGATGTTGATAGCCCAACAAAATAAATATTGATTTTTCAGCCCTAAGAGGATTTGAATTACTCTGTGGAACCCAAAATTAATTTTCTAAATAATGAAAATTTAATGTTGAAATTAGGAGAAGATACTCTTAATATGTATGTATATGTGTGTGTGTATATATATATATATATATGTATATATATAATGGAATAGATGCTGGTGGGGAAAAATGCAATCAGTAGATTATAATTTTGATAAATATTCTTGATTGATTTGAGATGCAATATTGGTTTTGTGATGGGTAGGTTTCAGTGTAGTGGAATGTGAGAATATAACTATGCATAATGATGCTTACATACATACATACATACATGCATACATGCATACATATATATATATATATATATATATATATATATATCCAAATTCAATCTCATCTTTCAGAAAAAAAAAAGAAGAAGAAAAGCTAATGCTGACTCAATCTACATCCTCATTCTACCCATAAGAAAAAAAAAAAAAGTGCATACTGTGATACAATATACATCCATATATTTATTGATTACAATTAATAAAATTCATGTTTTGAATAATCACATTAAAAATTAATAACAACAGTGTTTAATTTAAATGCTATGATATGATTATAATAAAAATATTGAGTTTAATTTATTGGGTTTTGACCCAATACAATAGGACTTCTATCCCATACATATATATATAAATATATATATATGTATATGTATATGTATATATGAAAATATAGGTGGAAAGAGGTGGGTATATCCTATATAGGCTTAGGGCCTGGAATTTGGGGACATAATGAAGATGTCTGTTTAAATTTTTAAGGCCTAAGACATGGGCTTTGTCCCTTCAAAATCTCCCTCAAAACTTTTATTTTTGGTCTCTTGGATTTATTATATATTAATTTTGTACTTTCCTTATTTTGTGTATTTAATTTTTAAATACTTGTACTTAAATGTAGTTTTTTTTTTTTAATAAAAAAAATAAAATTATTTTATTATTTAAAATATTAGTGTATAATAATCATTATAATTTGTATTGTAAAGGAATAAATTAATTTGGAGTATTATTTTGTTTTATTTTATTTTTTCAAAATGTAATGATGTAAAAGAGGTGACATCTTATTAAAACAAAAAGAAAAGGCCAATTAAAAAAAAAAGAAGGTGATTATAGGGATTTAGACTTAACATCACATTAACTTTTTTCTTTTTTTAAAAGCTTCCCATATGTATAAATATAATATATATATATAGAGAGAGATATATATATATATATAGAGAGAGAGAGAGATTTATTGTTTGTTAATGTGAACCACATGCATGTAATTAATAAAATATCTAATTTTGATTTATACTAACCATAATTTAGGATGTGAATTCTTTAAATGTTCAATAATTAAATTATTCATTAGTATGAGAAATAATTTTAAATTAATTAATTTGGTAGTAAACTTAATGATATAAATAATTATTTTTTAAATAAAATATATTATTAAAAATTAAGAAAATAAAATAAATAAAAGACTATACGTTTACATATATATATATATATGTAAATAGAGTGAAATTAAAATTAATAATGGATGGTAAAGTAAAATAATATAAAAATTATAATTGGAAGTGAAGATTTTAATTGAAGCCCATTGGGCCTATATCTTTCACCTGACTGGGCCAGGCATACCCGGCCCATTATGTGATGAATATATTATTTGCAGGAAAGAAAATTAAAAAAAAAAAAAAAAAATTGTTTTGAGTCGATGATGATCGTGGAAGATTGGTTGACAAAATCATAGATCAGCACCAGAATCGCAGGGAATGGGAAAGAAAATGTGGGTGTTTGGATGGCTGTGTCTGATATTTATCGGTGTCAATGTTGTATCGTCCCAGGAACCCGAGTTTGGTTCTGCTCGTGTTGTTTTCCAGGTTCTTTTTACTAATTTCTCTGCGCAAATATCTGAATTCAGCTTTACTTTGCCAATCTCATTTGATTTTGTTTATTAGTTCCTCTTGGTGCTTAGTTATATTTTCGTATTGGTTTCTTCAATTTTGAGTTTAAATTATGTTCTGGTGGTTTTCTTCAATTCCTATATTCTTGTTTTAATTACGAGATCAATTGGGTGAATTTCTAATTTGTATGAGGGAAGTGAAAGTTCATCATTTATAGTGGGGTTATATATGAGGTTATTGTGAAGGAATGAGATATAAATCGAATGATAATTCAACTGAATGTGATCTTCTTGTCATTGATAATGCTGTTTTGATTTAATGTGTATTCAATTTGTATCTTATTCCTTTACTTAATTACTAGAAGCAAATTGGGTCTTAATTGTTATGTTTGATAAATATAACTTCAGTTAAGCTCAAATAGACAGTTTAGATTATCGGTAAAACAAATGTATGTAAGTCATTGCAAATGAGAAATTACGACTTAGTTGATTATATATTAAGATTTTTTCTTAAAAAAAAAAAAAAATTATGGGTTGGTGTTTGAGGTACTGCAACAAACTAAACTTGTTATTGTTGTCTACACAGTTCTTGCATGTAGATTCATATTTATTCAATTGATAAGTTTCTTAAAAATTTATGGAATAATTTTGAATTGCAGACCAACTATGGAGACATTGAGTTTGGGTTCTTTCCAACCGTTGCACCTAAAACTGCTGAACACATTTTCAAACTTGTTCGTCTGGGCTGCTATAATACCAATCACTTCTTCAGGGTACTTGTTTGGACTACAAATAATGACTTTCTGTCAAGTAGCAAAATTTGGTTATGGGAGTTTGTACTTGTTCCAGGTTGACAAGGGTTTTGTTGCTCAAGTGGCAGATGTTGTAGGCGGGAGATCTGCTCCCATGAACGAGGAACAAAGAGTAGAAGCTGAAAAGACTGTTGTTGGCGAGTTTAGTGATGTTAAACATGTGAGAGGCATTCTTTCTATGGGAAGGTACATCTTTTTTGAATAGCCTTATTCTGTCTTGAGGTTATGGCTGAACTCATTGTACCTATTTGCATTGCTTTATTTTCCTTTTCAAAGGGGTTTAGATTTTTATTTCTTTCATTGTTAGTTGGTCAGAACTCGAAAGGATTTGTTGTGAGTGATATTTGATTTTCATCTTGCTTTTTCTTTTAATAGAAAAAGATACACGCGAGAAGGAGCAGCTGAATAAATATTCTGGTTAGTGTAGTATCTTAAGGTGTTAGAGGCCTCATAGCCTTGTATAAATGGAGTTGACTGCTTATCAAACTTAACTGAAAGTCTTCTAGGCTCTTTTCTTGCTGAGTTATTCTCTTAATGGGTCTCTCCTCTCTTGTTTGCTGTTTTGGTCAATGGAGTGGCCTTCATATTTTTTGAATTCCTTCAGAGGTATCTTAGATTTTGACAAGTAGACCCCCTCTTTTCTTTTGTACTCATCTTAATTGTGGAGGGTTCAATAGAATAATTTGGAGGGCACCTCCTTGTAACCTTATCCAGGGTGCAGTCGCCAGGGAGAGGCGAAAGAAGATCGACTACTTCCTCTTTGCAGATGCTAGCCTCTTGTAAGGGCACTAAGGAGTATCCACTGAACTTTTTGTGTGATTTCTTTTTTTTCTTTGAGGGTCTGGCCTGGAATCAACATGAAGAAATCAAAGATGGTCCCAAATAGTGGGAATGTGGTATGGAGGAATGTTCTCAAATCCTCAAATGTAAATCTAAATCCTTCTCTTAAAGTATCTGGGGCTTGAGGCTGACTCTTGCTCGCAACTTTTAAGGATCTTGGTGCTTGAGACTCTATCATTTATGAGATAGAGAAGATGTTGGTCAGGTAGAACAGGAGTTATCTCCAAAGGTAGGTAGGCTCACACTTATCAACCGCACCCTCTCAGACCTTCCAAATTTTTTTCTTGTTGTTCTTCCCTGTTCTGGCTAGGGTGGTAAAATTATTGAAAGCTATTTCAAGCAGGTTCCTTTAGGGAATCCTATTAGAGGAAATATCTTATGGTGGCTTGGGAGACAGTGAAGAGGGTGCTAGCTGGTGGTTTTGTAGCCAGTAAACATAGTCTTTGGAGGAACATCACTCGTGCTAAATGTTTTCTTGCAAATGGGTTGCACGTTTGGAGGAGTGGAAACATAAGAAAAGCTTATGGTGTTATTTTTAGAAATGGATTTGCACAGGTTGGAATATTAAAGAGGACTCTCTGCACTTCAAGATTGGAAATAGTTGGTTGGTTAGCTTTTGGGAGGACATTTGCTGTGAAAATACCCTCTTGAAAGGGACCATAGTGGCCGACTATTGGACAAGAAATGGTGAGAGTGACCCTCTATAGAGTTTCCTTTTGTCTTATAACCAAAATGATTGGAATATTAGTGGTTTGACTTCATAACTGTTATGTTGGCTGGATGCAACCATAACTCCTTTGGGGAGTCTCTCCTGTGTAATCTCGCCAAAAATGGTCTGTTCCTGGTGAAATCTTTCTATCACAACTTAATTATCTCAAAAGTGCTGTGGATATTTTTCTTTGAACCAAATATCAAAAGCAAAATATTTCCCTTAAATCTCCTCTTTCATTTTATCTTTTTCTGCTCGGCAGCAGTTTGCTAAAAATTCTTACTATAGATAATCTAGTGAGAAGAGGTAGACTTCTTGTAATTCCTTTGTTATGATCCTTTCTTAGGATCTAGTTATGGGATTTTTGGATAGGCTCGTTAAGAAAGAATTCAAATGACCTTCTAGAGTTTAAAATACTCAAAAAACTTTTTAATAATATGGTTTATTCAGATTACCTGTTTATACAAGAAAGTCCCATAAACTTGAAGGTAACATATGACTGTTACATCATTGATCCTTTTGCCTTCAAGAAAATGAGTCCACTAACCATCTACTCTTTTGTGCCCCAAGGTTATGGGATTCTACCTTCAAGATAATGTCTGTGGGGTACTTGTGCTACAGTGTTGGCAGTGCTATGGCCTTGGGATGGTTGTCTCATTGTGTGGCAAGTTGATGAAAGAGGTTACTTCTTTCATTTCTTGACTACTTTCTGGGTCATTTGAAAAGAAGGAATATAATAATTTTGGGGCTATTTTGCCACATTTGATATACTTAGGGATCATTAAGGGTGGTCACTGCTTTGAACCTGTATGGAGAGGTGGTGAGGAAGAAAGCCAAAACACTTGGAAGAGCACATTGTTTTCAGGCTTATGGATGCCATGTTGGAGCAGAATCACAAGATCTTTGAAGACTGATCTTTTCCTTTTCAATTCTAGTGGAAAAAACTGACCTTTTTGGCCTCCCTAAGAGTAAGGCTCAATTATCAATTTAACAGATATGGCTATTATGTGTTACACCAAATGTGGGGGGTGGGGGGGGCGGCGCGCTGAGAATAGTTCGATGAGTTTTTTGTTTTTGCTACTGTATTGATTCAATCTTCATGAATTAAAGACTTTAGAAGACATCTAATTTTTCAATGTTATATCTTTTTTTTTCTTGCTCTTAATAATACTTCTTTTTTTATATATAAAAAAGAAGGCCGTGACTTCTTTGGTGGAGAAGGTCTTAGGAACTTCACAAATATTTTGAGGAATACCACTTTCTAAACATATTTTGTACTTGGACAGCATCCCTTAATGCCTAGTTAATATCATATCATTTGCAATCTAGTATTTTTTACAGTTATGGAAGGTATGAAGTCAATGCTCCATTTCAAAAACAAAGCATGGAGTTAATGTTAATAAATGCGGAAATATGTCCAACCTTATTGTTTCCAGTTTGAAAACTGATAAGAGAATTGATGTAGAATAACAAGATCTTAATTTGGAATCTATTTTCTATTAAAGAAGTTGATATAGGACAAAATTAATATTAATTTGCCTAGTTTGAGATTTGGTATAAAAACCTAAACGTTACACCAAAGATTTCTTAGATGTCATGGAAGTGGTTGGGGATGATTATTCCAGTAGGGAGTAGTTGGTTGGTGTGACTAGAAATCTGAGTGACAGTGAAGTGGAGGAATATGAAGATTTATTAGAGCTCCTGGCCAATGTTCATCTGAATCCAAGTGGCGACCAGCTGATGTAGAAATTGAATAAGAATGGCTCCTTCACGGTGAGATTGCTGAATAATTATCTGACAACTAGGGAGAAATGGGGGGGCAGCTTTTCCCGGCCAAGCATGTTTGGAAAACAAAAGCACAATCTAGAATTGCGTTCTTTGTATGGGAACCAGGTAGAGAATGTATTTTAACCATTGATACGCTGATGAAGAAAGGCAAAGAAGGGGTTAACAGATGTTATTTATGCAAGAAGGCAGCGGAAACATGCAACCACTTATTGCTTTGGTGCCCGGTGGCTTGTAGCTTGTGGTCTATGGTCTATGGTTTGTTCGGGATTTCTTGTGTTATTGTGGGGTCGGTCAAAGATGAGATATGGGCTTGGGGAAGCTTATGTAAAAAGAAAAAAATTACTAAAATTATTCCTTTTATTATGTTTTGGGTCATTTAGAAAAAGACAAATAGTAGGGTTTTTGAGAGAGTAAAAAATGAAATTCATAAACTAAGGGATTGGTGGTTTCATTATTTTGATTATAGTTTAGTGAGTTATGATATATATATAGGTTGGAAGATTTTGGGTATATTGTTGATACTTTGACTAACTTGTAAATAGTTTGTACATCTGCAGTATCCCCTTGGTATCTTCGATTCTTTAATACATATTCATCTGTCATATTAAAAAAAAAAAAGAAGTTTTGGGCATTACATAAGGCTTAGTTGCATCGGAAAACTAAAAAATTAAGATACTTTTAAAGTATTTTATTGAATAATTAAAGTCTCTCAAAAAGTCATCAAAGGATATTTATAATGCTTGTTAAATAACTTTTACTAAATAGGATTGAATTAAGAAATACTAATACTAATAGAATTAGGAAGTAATACTACTAATACAAATAGAAAAAACTAGATATGGATAAGAATAAAATCTTAAAGACTAAAACTATAATAATAGACTCTTAAATAATGTAGTAGTTTTAAGTTTAATAGAATTATACTTTCTGATCTATTTAAGCAATCTGGAGGAAAATCTATTCTGCACCAAAATTTTTTTTGTAGTCATTATTATTATTATTATTATTATTCACTAATTTATTTTTTATTTAACTTATGTAGGTTAATTTTAAGTTACTGATAACTTAGCTATTTAGGTAGATTCCATAGAAGCTTCTAATTTTCTTTTTAATTGTTTGATGTTTTCCTTATTAGTTATAACCAATGCCTATATGTAAAGGTTAATAACTGTAAATAAATAAAGATAGATGATGATGAACTAAGAAGTTCTTTGCTAGTTTTATTCCCTGTTATCTTATGTATATTTGTTTTTCTGATTATTATTTTGTCTAACCTATACCATTCAATCTATGTCCTCCTAGATTTCTTCAGATTGATCTTCACTTTCCTCTGATCTATTTTTGTTCCAGTTTCTTGCCTAAATTTAGTAATTTTTTTGAACTATTCAGGACAAGTTAGTTTAAATACAGTTTGTTATGCATCAACAAGGTCCTCGAAAATGGACTAAACTATAGTAGATTAGGGTGTTAAACCTGTTTGCAACTTCAACACTATTATGAGGGTGATTGAGGAGATTATGTTAGGAAAAGCAAATGAGGATCTGAAAAAATAAATATGAGAAGAACATAAGGGAAAAGCAAGAGTGTAGTTTAGGTGGATATCTTCAATTGTTACTGGTTTCACATATAGTTTAGATTGGATCAATTTGTCAATTTTGGGTGAGATCAGTTTTGACATGGAATTTTCTGAACCGTCAACCAAATAATTTCTTACAGATATACCAAATTTGAATTTATACAACAATAAATACTTCCCAAGTAAATTATGATATATGACTTTCTATTTGGAAAAAATTGATGCACTATTATAAGATGATCATTTTGATAATTGAAACATTCCAAAGGGTAAGATAGAGAAAACCAACACACTCTGGAATTTTTTTTTTTGGGTTGGGGGGAGGCTGTGGAAGTTTCTTATCTATAATTTTCTGATGGTACCGTTCTTTTAATGCCTCAGGAAAAGAATGTTTTTCTTCATACAATCTCTCTATTACAAGTGTTTGAGTTTCCTTGGATATACATTTTAATTCAAATAAGAGTAGATTGACTGGTAGTAGCATTGAGAATTATTATTTTTTAAATAAAAAGTATGAAGTGAATTCATTAGATACAGTCACTAAGGAATACCAACCCGTATATAAAAAATATTTACACAAATTAGCGTTGAGAATCATATCCTTGATGGTCTTGCTCAGATGGTTAGATGCACTATTTTTCAATGGCCTATTACTTTTTTGGAGGTGTCTCTTTGGGCTATTCATGTACTAGTTCCTTTTTGAATCCTATTGTGAGTAAGGTCACCAAGCGTCTTCAGAATGAGAAATTTGCTCTTGTTGGGGCAGATTAACTCTCTTTCCAGCTTGTCTTTTAAGTGTCCCTTTGTGTTTTCCTTCTTTATTTAAAATCCCAAGGTTGAGGAAGTTAAGGAAATTATGATAAGAGTTATAAAGACCACCTACGTAGGTTGCATGTGTGTTGCATGTGTGTTGCAAGCACAAAAAGGATGGTGGCCTGGAATCTTGTGTCCAAGAACCTTGCACTTGTAACTAAATGGCTATGCACTTTCTTTTGGAGCCTTTTTCATGGTGGCAACAGCAAAAGTTAAGTTTGAATTGCTCTTGAATGATTGTGGTGCCAATACTGATTCCATTGTCACTCACTGAAATCCTTGGAAATTCATCTCTTAGGTAGATAGTTCTTTTTCCTCTTTACTTCATAGTAAGGTGGACGATGACCTTCGTTTTCGCTTCTGGGAGAATAATTAGAGGGAAGAGTTGTCTTTGCCTACTCTTTTTCCTAGATTATATCATATCTCCTCTACACGTTTGCACATTTCTCTACTTCTTTAATCGCCTTGATGGTCAGGTTTCAAGGAACTTATTTTCTCTTCCATAACCTGAATGATAGAGACATGGTAAATTTGATTTTTTTTATGGATATTCTTAACAGTTTTTACCCTATCCTTAATTCTGATTGTCGCATTAAGAACATTGAGCCATCTTGTGTTTACACTAGTAAATCTTTTTCTGGATTTTCTCAATGGAAATCCTATTATCGATTCTCTTTCCATATTT